TTTGCTTACATCCAGGAATGCAGCTCCTGTGTATTGTTTGTCGTTGAATTCAGCTGCTATGTACTCTGTTAGTCTGAGTACTTGTAGCTCGCTGGAGTGTTCTGATCTGAAGCCAAATTGAGCTTCAGGTATGATGTTCAGTTTGTCTGTTTCAGCTTGAAGTCTGCTGAGTATCACTCTTTCTACTATCTTACTGGTTGCTGGTAGTAAGCTTATTGGCCTGTAGTTTTGTGAATATGTGCTGTCTTTGCCGGGCTTTGGTAGCATTATGACATGGGCCTCTTTCCATCTGTTTGGGAATTTTTTAAACCTTAGCATTGCATTTATGACGTTTGTTAAGTATACAATGGTTTTCGCTGGTAGGTATTTTAGAGCTCTATTCGTGATCTGGTCTATACCGGGAGCCTTTTTGGCGAGCTGTTCTTGATTAGCAGGTTTATCTCCTCCGGTGTTGTTGGAGAGATAATTTCGTTTGGGTTTTCCGGTCTTTCTCTTTGTCTTTCGACTTCTTCTATAAAGTCGATGTCTTCGTCTGGGTGATAATTTAATGTACACTCTCTCTCGAGAGTACTACTCATTACCTCTGCTTTTTCCTCTGTGCTGTATACTATGCCATTTTCTCCGTGTAATGGAGGAATTGGTTTTCTGTCACTTCTTGAGATTTTTTGCAGTTTCCAAATATTCTGCATATTTGGTCCTTGTTTTTCCATGTCCCTTATGTGGTTTTCCCAGTTTTCACTACGGTGTTGTTGTAGTGCTGTTTTGACCTATCTATTAAGCCGATTTGCTCTATTTTTTTCTGCCCGGTTCCTTGTTCTTATTGCTGTCTGTTTTGTTCTGTTCTTTTCCCTTATCAAGTCTTTTATTGCTTGTGGTATATCCTTAAATCTGCCCGTATGCATTTCTACTTCCTGTTCTGTGGTGCTATTCCTGATTGCTTGTTGAATGATGTTTTCCAACTCTAGGACCCTGTCTTCTATTTCTCGCGGATTGTCTATCACTGGGACAATGTTTATTCCAGTGCTCACGAGTCTCTTGAAGTTTGTCCACTTTGTTTTCTTTTTGATCCTTTTGATTGTGCTTTCTTCTTCCCACGTTCCTAGTTCTAATAGGATGGGGTTGTGGTCGGTTGTACATTCGTTTAATGTTTGAATTTCTATTTGTAGTCCTAGGTTTTTAGCAACTACTATGTCTATATGCGTTGGAAGTGCATTTCCTGGGTAATGCGTTGGGTCTGTGGGGCCCATTGCCATAACGTCGTCGTTGTTTTCTATATACGTGTTTAGTAGTCTTTCATTTCTGTTCTTAGCTCTGTCATTCCAGTTAGGGGATCTTGCGTTTAGGTCTCCTATTATAATTGTAGTTTCGTCGTTTAGGAACGTATTTAGATCTTCGTCGATCAGTGGATCTTGCGATCTTACATAGGCGGAGGTAATTCTGACTTCTCCTTGCCTCATTTCCAATCTTATTGTTGTTGCTTGCATAGTTACTAGTTGTGGTGTTGGTAATCTAGTGTGTCTTATGCGTTTTTTTACGAGTATTGCTGTGCCGCCTGCTCTGGCTGTGTTATCGTTCCTGTATACATCGTATCCTGGGAATTTGATGTTAACGTTTGTTAGTTTTGTTACTTGAATGGCTACGACGTCCATTTCATATCTATTGACCAGTTCGTCCAGAATGTTCTGGTTGTTCCTTATACCTCCTGGATTCCAGGAGCCTATCCTCAAGTATCCCCTATTAGTTTGCACTAGTTCAGTGCCAACTTGAAGTCCGCTATCGCCTCGTTTACGACCCTAGTGAGTAATTCCTTTACGGAATTTACTAGGCCGTCCTGGTGTTGCCTGGAGATGAGGATGGTGTTATCATGCTCCTGTGGTTTGGCTGCCTGGGCGTATGATATCCCTGTTGGAGTGGTTTGTGGCCTACTTTGCGTGACTGGTCTTTGTCTTTGAGGTTGTTGTTGACGGCCCCAGGTTGGACATCTGGAACATCCTCTGAAATTTGCCGGGTGTTGGCCTTGGCAGTTTGCACATTTTGCCTTCTGCTCTTTTTGCATCTTACAACTTCTTGTTTCGTGATCCTCTCCACACTTTACACATCGAGGTGCTTTGAAGCACGCCCTCTGTGCATGGTGATATCCCTGGCAGTTCAAACACTGTGTGGGCCTGCTTTTCTTAGGTTTTCGATTCTGACTTTCATGTGCATCAAATTAGTGATGCGCTTTAGTTTTTCTGTGTCCTCCCTCTCCACCGTCATGACGAACATGGGCAGGTTTCTTTTGTCGGCTTTTCTTGAGATCATGTTCTTGACCGACAATACTCTGATATTGTGGTCTTCCAATATTTCGTCATGTATGCCCTTTGGGTCTGATGAAGAGGGTAGCCCTCTTAAAACCATTCTTGGTTTTATATCCTCTTCCAGTGAAAATGCTATCCACTGGATTTTCGTTTCTTCGTTAAACTTCTCGATGATTTTCACCATCTTTCTGTAGTCCTCTGGACTTTTAGCTTGAATAAGCGTTTCACGACCGCTTCTGGATAATTTGTTATTAGTAATTACCTGCTCTTTTTGGGCGATTTTTAGGATGGCTCCAGTGTAGTTCACACTCTGTAATTTAATTACAGGTGGCTTAGGTACCCAAGTTTTCTTGGGTGCCTCTTCGATGTCCATTTGCATTGGAGTTGGAGAGCGTCGATCAACTTGCGCATCACTATTCTGTGTATCTTGAGGTTTGGTAGGGGTGAGCGGGGGAAGTCTTCTTTTTTCTTGGATTTTACCTCCTTCGGTTTTTCTTCATTTTGTTTTTTGGGAGCTGCTCCCGTGGCTTTTGGTTCCTTAGGGATTGTTCTCGTGGCTTTCTTCTTGTTTGTGGCCTGGTTTTCCAGGTTGACATCCTTCTTAGTGTCTGTTTTTCCAGGGTTACCTCCGGTTTTTAGCCCTCAAGTTGGTCGAACTTCTTATCTATGTGGTCTATTATGGATTTATGAGAGTTTACAATTATATCTTGTAACTCCTTTATCTTCTTTTTGAGGGCTTCATTTCCTTTTCCTTTTCTTTTTCTTGTAGAAGTTTCTTCACTGTTTCTAGTTCGGACTTTTCGTCCTCACTACTTTTCTTCCTTATCCTCTTGCTTCCTGTTTTTGGCGTGTCGTCGTCTGTCGTCTCATCTATAATTCGGTTTCCCTCCGCGCGGGCTTTTGTCCTCCTTTTTTTGTTCTTGGGACGTTTGAAGTCCCCTTCAGTAGCATGAGGTTCCCATTCATCCACGGGAAGGTCTTTGAAGACGTCGTAGTTCGTCGTCGTTTCGTGTTCATCGGATGCGTCGTGGGTCAGTAGCGCGTCATAGATGTTGCTGTGGATTTTCCTCTCACTGCAACCATAGGGGCTAGGGGGTTTGCCTTACGATCAGGCGGAGATCGTGATCGATCCATATTGGGAAGGGACTAATCGTATAATTTGGAAGAAGGCTTTTTTGTCCTTCGTCTGGCCCGTTGCCAGCACGGATTCTGGGTGCCACCCAGTGTCCTTACTCGAGGTTGTTCACGCTTTAGGCGGAACTAAAGCGGGGATCCTCTTAATTTTCTCGATTATCTGACCCTGGGGCCATGTCTGCCAGATATAGAGTTCTAAACAACTATATCCCACAGTGTCATCCCAACGGAGGCACAGAGAATATCCCGACGGACTAAAAGCCCGTATGCTTTTTCACTTTCCTACGCCTCAATTTTGGCCTCCGTGAAGACTTGATTAAAAAACAAATCTCCCCGGTTTAACCTCGTTGCGGCGTAGGATTTTGCCTCTCTTTTGGCCTAAGCGCTGTTAGCGCCAAGTCTCCGCTACCGTGCTTACATTCACGGTGACGAACTAATAAAATAAGTTCGGCTCGGACTCGGTCGCTGCAGCTCCTCGGCGGTGTCGCTCTTCGACTCTCGGACGTCAGCTCTGCTCGATTATGGCTCGACTGCTGGAGTCGAACTGCTAACCTATGCTGCTAACTATGTGTGATGGTAAGGGTGTTTTATTTATTTATATATACTTGGGTTTTCTAGGCAAATCTGCCAATTACATGTTAAAGTCAGTTTTATATTTTATTATACGCTCCACTGGATAATAGTAAATTTCCACGAGATGACTCACACATATTACCTTTTTAAAAGTCTGTATAATTAAGATAAACAAAGTTGTAAGGTTCTGGGATCTGTCTAGCGAATTTTATAACACAATCTGTCGGTACAAAAATATCTCGAGGCCTGGGCAATTTCTCGATACTTTTGTTGTATTATAACCTGTTTGCAAATTGCCAGTTGTAACAGAGTATTTGATATGGCCAAAGATCGATTCTGGTACCCAGATTCATAGCTTGATGCAACTATTTTTGCCGAATTATATTTATTTACTTCATCTTCAAGGTTTTGAACCAAAATAGATGCAAAAATATTACTGTCTAAACCGCCGTTACTCTCGTACCAAATATAAAAACAAATCCTTTGTTTTTAAATTATACATAGTATAATTGTGAACCTTCAATAATGTTGTGATAACAAAGCAGACTGAACGTCTACTGTAAAGACTAAGGTAGTATCGTCAGATTTGTTTATCATAATTTTTATCTGTTCGGGCTCTGTCTTTGTTATTAGTATGAATATCGTAAGCTGCCTATGGAAGGTTGCCATGTGTAAATGCACTCCACTGGTCACACTGATCTTTCATTTATGGCAAATTTTCATAAAAAAATCGACGAGAGCATGGTATTATGTTACTCTGTTCTACTTACTTCTCCGGTGACATGACATACTGTCGTATTTTGCAGAACCCAGTCTCTCAATTGGCATTGTCCAATACTTAATGTAGACATAAACATTTGTTTTCTTCTTCTTTAGTGCCTTATCCGGTCCGGATGTTAACGATCATCAAGGCTATCATGGTTTTGTTGACTGCTCTGCGGAGGTCATCCCAAAACATTGTCGGCTCCTGCCAAATACTTTACCTTACGTAACGAGTTGAAAAATTTGATATTTTTCTTCGTTTAGCATCACGTGCCCGAGGTACTCAAGCTTACGTTGTTTCACTAAATAAAGCAATTCTTTTTCTTTTCTTATGCACTGTAGCACCTCAACGTTGGTGACATCGTCCACATACGATATTTTTAGTATCCTTCTGTGGCTTGCGTCAGTGTCCAGGCTTCAACTCCATATAGTAACACTGGAAGAACGTAGCACCTCACTATTCGCATCTTGGTTTTCAAACTGAGATCACTGCAGCACAGCAAGGATCTCAATTTGATAAATGGAGACCGTGCCATTTCAATCCTTGATCTAATCTCTTGAGCGTAGTCCCATTGTGAGTTAAGGGGAGTTCCGAGGTAAGTGAATCTGTCGACTCGCTGGATCTCTTCGCTACCTGCCATTAGTGCCCCGGGATCTAAATTTCCACGGATGACAACCATGAATTTAGCTTTCTTAATATTAAGGTCTAGTCCGTATGTTACGCTCACAGTTCTCACTCGGTCTAGTAAGGCTTGTAGATCATTTAGGCTGGTTGCTAGTAACACAATGTCATCGACGTAGCGGATATTATTGATGTATTCACCGTTCACTCGGATTCCCTTCTTGAGATAGAATCGTAAGATTTAATCTCCCAAAAATCCCAAATCAAATACGAGAACATATTGCAATCAGTCACGCCGTCGGTCGACTTATAACGTTTTGCAATAGTTTTAAAATCTAGTTTGTAATCGGATATTTACATGGGACGTATTGCATACCTTGCGACCTTGCCTCAAGGTCACAATACCACTGTTGGTAGATAAACCAAATAACCGAAATTTTTGACATAAGACTTATTGCTGTATCACTGACGATATGTATTGCACTGAACATTACATTTGCATCCGATGTATCTGTATACAGGATTTTATTATATATTTTTATAATTTGTAAAGTCCGTTTTACAGCTTGCAATTTTACCTGCAAGACGCAAGAAAGTTGCCCAAAGGCATGCGCAGTATGTCGTCAGCTGATTATTGCCTGCAACTTATTGCAGTTGCGCGATAATCGGTTTGGTGCCATTTTCTGTGCAAGTTTTCATGCAAGTCTAGGGGAATTTGTAGGAAGTTTGATTTTTTTACAATGTCAAATGTCATAATCACTGATTGACACGGAGACATGCCGATCAGCTGTTTCCTGTTTCCTGTTTTGTTTTTTGTTTATTATTTCCTTTCCCACACATTTGTATTTAGCTTGGCTTGATTTGTAGATTATCGGCTTTTTCTAATTTTAATATTTTTAATTAATACGTTAGAGTATCATAAAAAATTGAACTCTCTTCTGCCCGAAGTACCAACGTACCAACAATGCCTTGCATAGTCTTGGCATTACGAAATTTACTATCTATCTATCTAAATCAATCTATCTATTGAAATTAATTCTAAATATATCATTCTAAATTCTAATCTAAATCTATCGAAATTAATTCTAAATCTATCTATCGAAATTAATTCAATCTATCTATCAAACTAAATCGACTAAAGTGTTTTAAATAAACAAGTAATTAAAAAAAATCATAAATAAGTTAGGTTAAGAGTAAAAATTTCAACATTAATTGCAAGCTGTAATGTCGCACATAAAGACCCTGCAATAAATTGCATGAGAGTTAGTCATGCAAGAAGTTGCAGCAAGTTTTCTTGCAAGCTGTAAAGCGGTCTTAACGAGAGAAACATTTTTGACTTAGAGTAAGGATGGAAAGATTCAGAAAAGTCAACTCTGACATATACATATACTTATTTTTCATAATCTATGAATATGTAGGCCTTTTGGTAAGATAAAATAAAAGGTTGGCGTATGTGGAAAAAATTTAAGAGTTATTTACATATTTATAATGAATATTATAACTCCTTATAATGAATAAAAAAATATATTTAATTTAATATCAATCTCAATGTTTTACTAAATAGAACACGCATGTGACTATTATTCACCACATACACTTTACATTTAATTATGACAAATTATTAAATTGTATATATAAATATTAAATTGTTGAAATTATTTATCTCATATTTTATTTTTAGTTTACATCGCTAACATTAGTATAAAAATATTATTTTTTAGTTTCAGATTCAGGATAATGAATAGGCCTTTAGGCCTTTGGATTCTTCTATCAGCGGGTATGTTGCATTTTTTTATCTAACGATCAATAGTTTTGATTGATCGCTATTAATATTTAAAACTTGAACGGTTGAAATAAAAAACAGTATATTCCAGCTATAGAAAAAATATGTGGTATATATCACAATTTGGTGACGTTCCATATATACATGTGTACAGGGTGCGGCATTAGTGCGGGGAAGACCATTTACTCATTTGCCGTAAGACATACGAAAAAAATTGGGTAAAAGTTGCAGTATAGATGCATAGGACCATACTTAAAAATATTTTTAAATATACAAAGCCACCCATATTAATAGGGTTTATTAAATTTATTGATATTTTAATAAAACACCCTGTATATTTTTACATTTTTGGACTCTTCCCGATGTTCGCGTTTTTTTCAATATAATTACTCTGGAGATCATGGAGGCCACCTTCTCACTTCTTTCCTTCCATATCCACATTATGTCACGTATGTTCAACGGTCCTACTTAAAATGATTCCGGTAATTCGTCGTCCAAAAAATGTAGATACATTTTCTTGTTTACGTGATCCTCAAAAAAGGGTCATATGACATAATTTTCAGGAATTCCAGCCCAAAACATTTAATGATCATGTTGTTTCACTGTGGGTGAAAATGTGGTCTAAATTAGAAGTTAAGTAATAGTGGAAATTGTGTCTGTTTACAATATCATTCTTGTGAAGAGTAGTTTCATCCCCAAATAAACCGTATTGCAAAAAAATCATTCTAAATTTATTCTAGCGCCCACCGACAAAATTCTATTCTTTTATTATATTTATCCTCATTAAGCAAGTATGTATGATACGGATGCACGTTGCTCTGTTTTAAAGTTCTTTCTACACTACTTTCAAAAACGTGAACAATTTCTCTCGTACTAATATGCGCATTCCAAATAATATTAAGGATTAGATTTAATTTATTTTCTTAATTTACAATAGTTTTTGTTCAATTAAATTTTTCGTTATTTACGTGGCTAGTCCCTTGATACTATTCTAGAAATCTAAAAATCTGAAAATGGAAATAAAATAGACAGGTGAGGTTTAATTTCGTTATAGCGTTTCACCATTTGCTAATATATTTCTGCCTTTTGACTTCCTCAGAGCGACTCATGGTAAGCTTTAACGAAATAAAATCTTTTTCATTTATAAAAGCAAATATTTAAAATATTTACCGACAGTCACTAGAGCGACATCTACTAAAGAAAATATAAATCGGGAATCGAATTCAGGATACGGCGCAAATCTATATTTTCAAAATATTACAAAACAAAACAGACGACAACTGCATTGAAATGTACTGACATGAGGATTTATAATTTGCATCCATATCATACCAATTCGTCTAGGCATAAATCCCTTTGAAAAACGATTTCCTATTATTCCATACTAGAGTAAAATTTTAAATAAAAATAAAATAGACAGTTAACGTGTAATTTCATTACCATGAGTTCACTCTGAGGACGCCAAGAGGCAGAAATATGCATACGTTACGTTAGGTGTAACACTTTCAATAAACTGATACTTTTTCAATAGAATAGAACAAAGATTAGATGTATTGTAGATAAAATGAATTAAATTAATGGAATTTATAATCCGTAAATAGTATATTTAATGTGCACAAAAAACTGAAAGAAATGAGTAATATATTTAAAAAACGAGTTCCCTCTGTACTTGTTGACACTAATAACAAAATTATTGTAAATGAGCAAGAAATAAGAAAATAATGGCAGCTGTATATATCAGAGTTGTTTGAAAATGACAGAAATAATATTGCCGAATTCTACCAAAACTGTACTGATGGCCCAGAAATTATGAAATGCGACGTAGAACATGCTATAAATAATGCTAAAATTAGAACAGCTTGTGGTCCAGGTGATATACCAACTGAGTTGCTGAAACTGATAGACAATGATAACATAAAAGTAGTAGTAAGACTTTTTAATTCAATATATAACACCGGAGTGATTCCCGCAGATTGGCTCAAATCCATCTTTATCGCAATACCTAAAAACCACAATTCTAGAAAATGCTTAGAATATCGATTAATTATCCTAGTGAGCCACACTCTTAAAATTTTTCTCAGAATGCTTCACAACAGAATTAGAAGCAAATGCGAAGAAGGTCTTGAAGATATCCAATTTGGTTTTTGAAATGCTATGGGAACCAGGGAGGCACTTTTTGCGCTTAACATCGTATTACAAAAATGCCGTGACCAAAGAAAAGATGTATTTGCATGTTTCGTGGACAAAAGGCATTCGATAAAGTACAACATGTAAAATTATTGCAAATACTGAAAAATACCGAAATAGATGACAAGGATATTCGTGTCATTAAAAATTTGTACTGGAATCAAACTGCTATCGCAAAAATTGGAGATAACTACACCGATGAAATCCTCATACAACGAGGAGTCAGACAAGGTTGCATTTTGTCGCCAACATTGTTCAATGTTTACTCGGACCAGTTATTTAAAAAGGCACTTGCGAGACAATCATATGGAATCAAAATCAACGGGGAACTACTTAATGTGATTAGATATGCAGACGATACAGTAATTCTATCAGATAATATTGAAGGTCTTCAAATTCTGCTTGATGGTGTAACGAGTGCGTTACTTAAATAACCGTTTACCTTTTTTGTGACTGGAGTCTTTTAATTTAACTTTAATTTAAATTCATATTTGAAATATTCTTAAACTGAATATTTAAATAACTCCCAGCAAATTTTACTTTCTAAGGTTGGCATTAAATCCCGACCTCTGGTGTAAGATTCTGAAAGTACGTCGACTTGACGATTTGTAAGTGTTAATAGAATTACTTGTTGACTGGGTGTGATCGAAGACAGATCGATCGATCATAGTGGCGGCTGGGAGGTGCCATTTTTAAGAAATTTAGTTTAAGTTTATTTTTTTTTTATGAAGAACCGCTGATTTAAGGACAACAATTTAAGTTATTTTTGGGTGTTTTGTACGAGGATACTTTAAGTTTTGGACCACCTCAGCCGGTAAGATGAACTTATAAATATATTATATGAAAAACCATGTCTGATCATCCGCCTGTGTTAGTGAAATTCAAATCAATTTTAATCCTTTCTCGATAGATATTTCACACATCTTATATATGTCCTATTTTACGATATTTCTCGATAGATATTTCACACATCTTATATATGTCCTATTTTACTTTATTTCATTAATACCTAAATACATTACAAGTATTATATTTTATAATCATTTCAAATTTTATTTCTTTCCAAGGATGAAAGCAAACAATTATCTATTTCAATTCCATACCGTTTAAACCGGCTAATATTTCTTTTTTCCTATTTTATAATATATAAAGATCATGCTTTCCGTTAAAACTATCTTATAAAAAACATT